GTAAGATGTTTCACTAAACTGTCCATAATTACTCAGTAAAAYACCTCTTATACTGCCACCAAATAAACCAGCACACGTTTCAACTTGTTAGTTAACATTGTTGGCTCAAGGCAAAAGGGAGTCTTTTCTCTCAAGTGTTTCTATGTCCTCATGCTTTTAAAGGGTGAGTTTCCTCTCACAGATCAAGGATAAGCATATCAGGTTGACTGGTTCAAGTCATGGAACTGTGGAACTGGTCTTTACCTTTGAAAGGATAAAGATCTGGTCCACATGTGTTTTGTGGACCTGAAGAAGGCTTACAACACYGTGTCCTTCATGAGAGTTTGCGTGGGGTGCTGAGGTAGAAGGAGATGGGATAGTTATCCCCAATTTACACTGCCTGTGACTCTGCTCCGGTGCGAAGCACATAAGTGCTTTGAGAAGCATGCTCAAGAAATGCAAAATCGTAATAAATCCAGTGATAAATATGGAAGTCAGACCATCCTTTCATTATCTATACCTGCTTCCTCCTTTCAGGGTCACAGGGGTCACTTGTGCCCATGCCCAGCAGTCACTGTGCAATTGCAGGGTCACACAGAGATAAACAACCATTCACACTCTCACACCCAGGGACAATTTAGAGTTATCAATTAACCTATTCGACATGTTTGGTTTTTTTTTTTTTTTTGGTCTGTGTGAGGAAGACGGAGTACCCGGAGAAAACCCATACATGCACAAAGAGAACTTGCAAACTCTACTAAGAAAGGTCCCCACGGGCTGGGATTCAGTCCGGCAACTTTCTTGCTGAGAGGCATCAGCTCTACCAAATGAGCCAAAGTGCCGCCGGAAGTCAGAACAAATAAATTAATTCTGTAAAAGATTGGAAATAGTTGAAACTGCATCGCTGTTGTCTTTATTTGAATCCATATTTCAAAATAAAATCCATACGTTTTTGTGTGTATGCATAAGATAAATTTTGACAGCATGTATGTATAAATATACCCCTATACTTATTAATATAGCTAGGATTTTAACAAAATGTAGTCTGTATTTGGTGCATCATTTTGAAAATACAATGGTGCTCTTTTATTTTTCCCGTTGGTGTGGTGTGATCTTTGTATATTTGACTCCACACTTGTTCGTCTGTCCGGCAAAAAAAGATCAAATCTATTTTTGATGGATTGCCATGCGCAGAGTACTGTAAATGCRCTCATTGATTATAATGGGTGCATTTTTACTGCAGAGGTCAGAGCTCAGCACGGTGGAGTGGACRCAGTGTAAAYTGGGGGTTAAGCTTGTGGTCTCTTCAGACCCTGTAAAGCAAGTTGGACTTCACCAGGCTTATCTTTTGTTGCCATTTCTGTTTGTGGGGATAAAAGACATGGCATACTGTTGAAGAAAATGGTGTCATGTTTACGAATCTCGATTATGTGATTCTATTGGCGTAATCAAGCCAGGACCATCAGATTGACAACTCATTGGGAAGGGGTTGAGAGGAGAATCTCATACAAATTGTTGGCCATGGTTCAGAAAGAGAATAAATTTTCCTTCCGAGTGGAGGGCTACCTCAGGCTGAAGGATTTAAATGTACTGCTCACAAGTGATGTTACAATAGAACAAGAGATAGACTAATGGATCAAAGCTTTCTCTGAATGCGTATGGTTACACAAGATCATAGTCATAAAGATTCATTTTATTGAAAAATGCTAGGCTCAGTTTTTCTTGTATGATATTTTAGTGTCATAACCAGTCTGGTCATAGGTATTTAATTTTATCAGTAACAAATTTCTATCACTTAAAAACTGAATGGAAACCTTACTTGTAGATTATCTCAAACAAATAAATGTACTTTATTTTGCTCCAACGATCCCAATTCTGTTTGACAGGAATGAATCTTTTGCTTTCAAATCTTTGATACAACAAAGGACTTAGAGAAGTGGAAAACAAGCTTATGCTTGATGTTGTCCAGTCTTTAAAACATTGGTAGCAGTTCAAAACAAATTAGTTCATATAAAGAACAAAATCTAAAGTTTTTATAAGGAGTCACACTCAACTTAGATGGGGGGTCGGTAGCTGAAAGACAACAAAGTTTGTAATAGAAACCATTTAAAGTTGAAATAAAGTGACATTTAATTTTCTTAGAAAATAACCACCTAATTGAAATTAAGCAACACAATTTGACTGTTTTTCTCCCAATTCAACTGGGYTGGGGTGCATTGGTGAAGTGTGTTCTGAGGTTAGCTTGCTGGTASCATTACACAGCTATCTGACAGCATTAGGTATTTTAAACACAGAAAGGTTTAGCTGGGGTATTTTTTCCATCAGTTTAAGTTTTACTTCTACAACAGTTATAACCTAAAAGACAGCTCTCATTTTCTAAGTATCAACACAGAAAGCGCTGAAATATCTCTGAGGCTCTAAATGGACAGTCGGTATATGTACATTCAGATACTTCAATACACGTTACTCAAATGAAGTTGACGGTGTAGCATGTGCACCTTAAATATTGATCAAAGTTGCATATTTTAACAAGGAAGGACAAAAAGGGACTATTCCTTGTCAACAGATACAGCTTTGTTCATTATCTATCAAGGAATGTCAGCAGTTGGATCTGTGAAATGTCATTTGCTGAATGCCGTCAGATGATTCCACAAACCAATTAAAGCAAATTGACAAGATACACAGACACAAACGCATGACACAAGGATTATTTTTATATTCAGTATTGCCATTGAAATTCAATGTTTTTTTTTTTTTTTTTTTTTTTTTTTGCCAGTAGGTCATCAATATGAACAACTGAAGGAGAGAAGGGGGCTTGTCAAAGTTACATGTGACTACTGTACGTGTAACAAGTGTATGTATGTTTGTTTTTGATCATGCAGCATGAGAAACTCAAGTAAATTTAACATTGCAGAAATAAGTCAGACATTTAGCGCTGAGTTTGGTTTTAGCTCACAGATGAGTGGATTCTTGTTGAACACATGCATTTTAAATGRCGTGTCAGTCCTCATTGGCTTTTCACACCATTCACATGCCAACTCGAGCGTGGAAAGGCTGGGGTTTTCAGTTGCGAATATTGTTTATAATATATAAAGTATGCTGTTGGATCTCCATTCTGACAGCCGACTATTTTTCCAAGAGCAAAACCTCAGGGTGAGATGTTTATTGAAAATTCAATGAAATGGACCATCGTTAATGGAGCCAAAACAGCCCCCAACTCATTACGAATTAAGCAGATACTGATATAAATCTGCTCGAGGGGTTCTGCAAAGCAGGAAACCAGAATAAAGTT